CAAATTAATGTGAGTGAATAAAAAAATAACAAAATCGTAAATTTAAAAAAAATAACGACAAAAATACGCCTCATTCAAAAACATTTTAAAAAAAACATGAAAACATAAATTACCATTCCCCACGTAATTTACAAATAAATGAAACACATAAATAAATAAAAAAAAGTTATTGTATACCAGTAAAAATAAAGAAGGCAAAAAACATAAATTAAAAAGCAAGAACTAAATAATGTATAAAAAAAAAAGACAAAAACATAAATTTAAAAAAAAAATGTAAGCAAAATACGCCAAATCCAAACCCAAAATAAAAAAAAAATAAATGTAAGCAAAATACGCCATATCCAAACCCAAAATAAAAAAATAAAAAAATAAAAAAATTTAAGCAAAATACACCAAATCCAAACCCAAAATAAAAAAAAATTTAAAAAAATGTAAACAAAATACGCCAAATCCAAACCCAAAATAAAAAAAAAAATTAAGCAAAATATGCCAAATCCAAACCCAAAATAAAAAAAATAAAAAATAAAAAAAATTTAAGCAAAATATGCCAAATCCAAACCCAAAATAAAAAAATTAAAAAAAGCCAAAAAGGGTAGTTTGGTAATTTAACTGGAAGACACCTCACCAAAAAATCAAAAAGTCAAAAAAGCCCTATCTCAAACCAGGCTTTTTAGCCCCAGGTTAAAATAGCTAAAAAAGTCAAAAAGTCAAAAAGCCAACCCACTTCCCAAACGGAGGCTTATTGTCATTTGATTAAAGCCCCGTTTGTTTGGGGTTATAGGGAGGGGATTGGGTTTGATAGTGAGGAGGGGATTGAGAATGAGGTGTTTGTTTTGAGAGATAGGGAGGGGGTTAGTAATCCCTTGGTATTAGTAAGGAGGAGGAAGGGGGATTGATAAGGAGAAAGTAGAGATGGTATTAGAAAAATAGTGAGGGGATTAGAATTTTTTTTATTTTTTATATATTGGGAATTTTTTTTAAACATAATGTTTAATTTTTTTATATTTTTTTATTTGTTTTATTATTTTATATAAAAATAATTTAACAATCCCTCACTATCAATCTCCTCACTATTAATCCTTTCCATTCTATCTCTAAAAACAAACGGAGCTCTGTCTAAATAATTTCACAATTCTCGATGTCCTCAAATTATTTATCCCATGCATATGAGATTTTTTTGGATTTGCAAGCATATGAGATTAATGGTTACAATCAAATAAGTACTTCCTATAACAAACTAAACACCAAATTGATGAATCTAATGGATTATAAATCCAATTCCACCCAAATTTATTCAGCAAGCATGACCCAAGTGTTTGTTTTATTCTTTATCATATATATTAATTAAAAATATGTGTGGGAGAAGAATAAGGTTCTTGGAAATAGTAATATTACAATAATAATTTTTTCTCTTTTTACAAAAAGGATGAAGAATGATTATCATGCATAACTAGTACACAGAAAATAATAATATAAGCCCTATATTGTTAATTGTTTCGAGCTTTTAGTATTTAATTTTTTTATTTTTATTTTGACACGATGCTATGCCTTAAACAAGTCATTAATGTACAAATCAGAGGGACATGCCAACCTATAAACTACTGGAGTCAATAGTCAATATTATCAGGCACATGTACACTTAACCATAAACTTAAAATCCTATTAATCTATTAGAAGGTGTGGCCATTAACAACGTTTCAAAACAATAAATGGGTTGGAAATTCCAAAAAATGCATATTGGTTGTTTGTGCCGAAACGTTTAGTTGTTTGGGTAGGTAATATTTTCTTAACGAAAATCCTTTCTATAATTTTTTTTGGGCAAATTACATATACACCCCTCGAGGTTTGGCTAAATTACAGATACTCCTGAGGTTTGAGAAATTACGAATTTCCCCCTGAATGCTATATTTGCATAAGAAATTAGGGGGTAATTTGTTATGAAATATAAACCTCAGGGGGTAAATTGTTATGAAAATACAAACCTCAGGGGGCGGGATGTAATTTCCGAAACCTCAAGGGGTATCTGTAATTTAACCAAACCTCGAGGGGTGTATATGTAATTTGCCCATTTTTTTTTTCTTAAAATATTTTTTTATATTTAGTTACGATCTTAAGATTGATCTGCTAGTTGTTATGGTAGTTGTTTGTGCTAGAAACATAACAAAAAATAAAATTTTACTGAAACAAATTTATTTTCTATTAACCTTACTAAGGCCAAGTTTGGGTACTTCCAAAAAAGTTAAAAAGTCAAAAAGTTACTCAAAAAGTTAAAAAGTTAACACTATTCACCAAAAGTCAACAATTACGGCTGCACAACTCCCAATTCAAATTTTTTCCTACAAATCAATTTTTACAATTTTTTATTACACATTTTTCAATAAAAAGTCAAAAAGTTAACCCAAACATCCATATTTTCAACCTCAATTTTTTAGTCCAAAAAGACGAAAAATGCACTTTTTTAGTCTTCCCAAACTTGGCCTAAGGCTTTGTTTGGAAAGTTAGTTTTGGTAGGTTAGGGGCTAAAATAGTCACAAAAAATAAAATAGGCTATTTTAGCCACAAAAAACAAAACATCAAATCCAACCCATAATTATTACACTCCTCTCTCACAAAAAAAGTCTAAAAAGCCAAAAAATCAAAAAGCTCTTCTCAAACCAGGCTTTTTAGCCTCAGACTAAAATAATCAAAAAGTTAAAAAGCCAAAAAATTAACCACTTCTTAAACGGAGGCTAAACATCCGTTATATCAGATATTAAAGAAATAAATAAATAAATTCTAGTGACTTTCGAAATTTATCTTAATTTAAAAGTGAAATAAAATCAACTCTTGATCAACCCATAGCATTGGAACATGTAGCTTGGTTTCAAAGTTCTAACATAAAAATGTTAGTTTCGCTTTTTAACTTTTTTTTAATTTTTTGAGTTATTTTAATTTGAGTTAAAAAGTTTAGTTTGAGGAAGACTTTTTGACTTTTTAATTTTTTTGACTTTTTTTGTAAGAGAAAAATGTGATAATTATGGATTGATGTGATATTTTATTTTTTGTAATTAAAATAACTTACTTTATCTTTTATGACTAAAATAACAAAAAAAAAAAAAAAAAACCATTTAACTCTTATCAAACGGAGCCTATGACAGAAATGCACAAACCTCAATCAACACATACAATGAACCAAGGGAAAATCATTGGCACGTTATATCATACATCTCTCACACTAACCAATACAAGAGACAGGGGAGAGGAAGAGACAGAAGGAAATAATTATTTATGTTTCCTTTGGTTTTTTAAATACTCCCTCCGTCCCATAATATTAGTCCCTTATTCCATTTTTCATTGTCCCAAAATATTAGTCCCTCTTCAAAAATCAAGTACAAAAATAATATAAATTTCCCATTTTGCCCTTCTTTTAAATTCATAAATAATATAAAAAGTACAATTATGACATTGATATTCTCAAAAAAGTGTACTATCAAAGGGTAATTTTGGAAAACCAACTTTTTAAAAGTACAATAATTGTACTATCAAAAAAAGTTGGATTCCCCAAAAGGGACAATTATTTTGGGACGGAGGGAGTAATCCTTTAGGTAATGTTAGGGACACTAAAGTTTTTACTAAATAAATGATCAAATGTCTCACATAGGTGTGGAGTCCGCAATTTTGTGAGCCCCACACCCATGTGAGACATTTGGTCATTTATTTGGTAGAAAATTTGGCACCTCTAGCATTTTCCAATCCTTTATTACTTGTATGATATGTTAATTTTTTAGTATATAATTAAAAGTATAGCTTACCTCAAAAGAATATTGTATAGGTCCTGTTTGGTAGGACTTATTTTTAATTTATTTCAATTTTTAATTTAATTTAAATTATTTTGATGTGTTTGGTTCAGCTTAACAATACAGTTTATAACTTTTTATAAGCCAAAAATCAATTTATTCTTTGAGTGGGGAGGAGAAACTTAATTTATAAGTTAAAAATCAGCTTATATTCACAATCACAACTATAAGGTATAAACTGTTAAGTTATAAGTTACAATCACTTTCCCACAGCTCTGCCAACCGCCATAGTCCCCCAAAATCATTTCGAATTATATATGCAGGAACCCAGTTAGTGTCACTTTGTTTATGGCAGAGCCCATATTCTGAGATTTGGTTGATATTATCTTATCATCCTCCAATACTTAATTTTCTTGTACAGATCAATTGTAAATTTTAAAAATTTTGAATTTGTGAAAAGATTAAAAACGAAAAGAAAAAATTATATATTTGGTTTACATTTTAATTTTATTTTCTTATATTTTAATTTTCTTTTCAATTTTACAAGTATACTAACACTTTTACAAATCAAATATTCGAACTAAATGACAATAAGATGTGTGGGTCTCGTAATGGATGTGGTTTTCACACACATTGTATATTGTCTAGTTTGTATGTTTGGGTGCAAAAGTGTTACTTAGGCCAAGTTTGGCAACTCTTAAAAAATCTAAAAAGTCAAAAAGTCACTATCCTATTTAAATCACATTATCTTATTTAAGTCACATCACCTCTCTAACACATCACTTCAAACCCAACCTAAACCCAACCCATATTTCATAAAAAGTCAAAAAGTGCACTTATTTAGTCTTCCCAAACTTGGTCTTAGTGTTCATAAAAATAAAAAATACATAAAAATATTTTCTTTTTTTTATTTTATTTTATCTCTTCATAAACTTTTTTATCAATTCAATATTTAAACACAATTTTAATATTCCATTGGTGCAATATGCAATATGTGGAATAGGTCCTAGATATCAGGAACATCAATGATGAGTTTGATAAGAGTTTTTTCTTTTTGTTCTTCTTTGATTTTTGTTGTGTTTGGAGATCAGATCTAGGCCCATCAAAGACTTTCTTACACGTTTTCATTCAAATTCAGTCCAACACATCAAACCATTTCTACAAAATCATTCATTGTAAGTCAGAAAATTTATAGCAAAAGAACAAAACAGTTCACCAGAGTAATGAAATTACAAGCAAAGACGCAATTCATTCAATATCTCAATAGACAACCAATTTGATTACAAATTAATATTCCCTTACCAATTTCTCATACAGAGTTTAACTACGAACACAAAAATCAAATAAATCCATAAGGATTTTACAGAAAATGTTGTTGGTACCAGATTCAATTCTAAAAAATTTTATCGATTCATACATATTCCGTGACTGATTTATGTGTTCAGATACTTATTATTCTCCTAATAATCATACTGATTCACCCTAATTAACCAATTTTAACAATCTTCTTGATGATGATGATGATGCTGATCAGTACTGAAAGATATCAGCAGCAGCCATGATGGGTTGTTGATTAAGATACATCAAGTTCCAAGAATTGTTCATGAAACTATCGGGACTGGGCTCAAAACCCCGAGTCTCAAACACACCATTGTTGGTGTTCATGTAATTCAAGATATCATTGAGAGACTGCAATCTCTGGCTAAGTTCATCCATCTGAGCTCTCAAAACAGAGTTCTCTGCCTCAACATTGAGGTAGTGCTGAGTGGTGATGCTCACACTTGTGTTGATCTGATTGTTTTCTTTCCTCAGCTGAGCAACCTGGTTAACCAGATCATTCAAATGCTTCTGTTTTCGCATGCGAGAACGCCTCGCCGATTCCCGATTCGATTCCATCCTCTTCCTCTTCCTCTGATCCATCTTACCTTGCAAGTGCTCTTCAGAGCCAGAGTGGCTCTGAATCTGTGTAGACCCTGAAGAATTTCCACTTGAAGAAGCCATTTGGTATATTTTACACCAAACCAAAGATCTTACTACTAATTTTACAGCAAAATTAAAAATAAAATATAGTGCGCAGGACCCAGATACTAGTTATATCTAGATAGATTTAGGTACATATATAAATATATATATATTTATAGTGATATAAATCAAGAACAGTGGAGATTGTTGTTCATGAAAAAACGTAGAACCAGTAGAGGAAGACAACAGAGAAAGATTGAACAAGATGGGTCCTGCGCCGGAGTGAGGAATTTATCATAAACCCCGAACGGAGGATTTCGCTAAGAACTGGAGACATGAATCTCAAACATTAAGATCAATATACTCAACATCAAGATTTAGATAGAGACAGACACAGACACAGGCACAGACACAGACACAGAGAGTTTCACAGCTACAGATCTGAACAGAGAAAAATTCAACAGAGTAACAAACTGGATGGGTATTTGATATTTAATCCAAAACAGCATCAACAGATCTCAACTAGAAAAAATTCGACAGAGTAATTAGATGGGTCTTTGGTATTCAATCCAAAACCCAACCAAAACCAGAGCCTAGAAATCAAAGAAAAGCAGAGAGAAACAGGGGAAAACAAAACCTCAGATCTATAACAAGGCCTTAGAGAGAGAGAGAGAGAGAGAGAGAGAGAGAGAGAGAGAGGCTACAGAGCTTCAAAACCAAAGATCTATGGGGGGAAAGAGAAAGGAAAGAGGAAGAGGTTTATTAGATTGTTGAGGGGGCGATTTATAGAACGAGAGAGGGCAAGAAAGTGAAAGAAAATATAAAAAAATGGGAAGGAAAATTTTCAATTGGAAGAGAGTAAGGTGGGCTTTGGAATCTCCTAGAGAGTTGTTGAGAGGTGATAGGGCATATGTGGGCTGGTGAGAAATTTCAACTACCATCTAATTCCAGCTGGTGTGCTAAACTCCAAACAAAAATAAATAAATAAATTGCAATCACCGCCTTTGCCTTTAAAAAAATAAAAATTGTATTAAGTTTAATAAATTTAATATATTTATATTGTCACGTTTGGGAGCTTGGTGGGCTTGATTTATTTGATCACTTGAGTGATCTGTTTGATAATATTTTGTGCACAAGAAAATAAGCAAGTTTTCTTAAAATAATACAAAATATTTGTTAATAATTTTTTAAAATATTAAAAATTTCACCAATTTTATAATTTTTTTACACAAAATTCAATATAAATAATGGCCCAAAAATAATTTTTATATTTGTCTTTAACAAAAGGTGAAAACCAAATCCCCAAAAGAAAAAAAAAAAAAGAAAAAAGAAGAGAGGTTAAAATCAACAGAGAATATGATTAGATTTACATACCTTGTTTTCACCACCTTCTGCGGTAAATGATCTTAACCGTTAGATTTTTTTGTCAGCTGATCGGCCATGTGTTACGTGCGACCGCACAGTATTACACTTTGCTGTAAATGCGTAAGATTAAGAGCTCCCTTTGGGGTAGGTTCACTTTCTAGTTTTTTTTTTTAAATTTTTTTGATTATTTTAATTTAGAGTTAAAAATTTTAGTTTAAAAAAGATTTTTGATTTTTTAAATTTTTTTGTGAGAAAAAGAATATAATGATTATGAATTAGATGTGATATTTTGTCTTATTAGGCTAAAAAGCTTATTTTATTTTTTGTGACTATTTTAGCCAAAAAAACCTCCAAACTAACTTTCCAAACAAAGGCTAAGAAGGGTAATTCGGTCTTTAGAATCATATAAAATGACGAGTAATGTGTAGGTCCTACACCCATATGAGAGATTTGATAAAATATTTGATAGATTATTTGAGATTCATAACATTTTCTGTAAATGACAACTTCATTAATAATAGTGTTATTATTAACCACACATTAATTATTTTAGAAATAAAGATTGAGAGTTGTAATTTTAAAATTTTAAAGAGAGTTCTAGTGATGTGGTAAGGAGTGGGACCCACATTTTATGTGATGCGTGTTCTTATGTTTTTGTTTTTGTTTTTTGTTTTTTTTTTTTCTTCTCTTGCCACATCACTAGACGCTTGCCTCTCACTCTCACCCTCACTCTACCATTTGCAAACATGTAATAGTTTCTTCAATAACCACAAGCTTTTGATCCAGTAGTTTGCCCACTGCTGAGTAAGATTTTTAGGTTCGACTGGATTTGTTCTTTAGTTCGAGTCTTGACAGTTGTAATACCTTGTGTCCAGTGCCAGGTTCTTACTACGAGCGAAGATTAATCAAGGTGCACATTAAGCTGGCTCGGACACTTGTGAAAAACATAAATAAGAAAAATAAAATAAAATAGTTTCTTCAATGTAAAATTAAGAATGAATTATGTAAACTTTCTTAAATTATGACATATTTATATTTGATATCATTGTTGTTATTTTAGATCCTCTATTTCTTTGAACCCCTACTTATGAATTATAAAATTCTTAAAATTTCTTTTCTTCTCCCAAATAATACAAAAACTATTATTGTAAAAAAATTTCACCTATTCAAATGTACACCCCCACACCCAAAAAAATCTCTCTTTCAAAACCTGAACAAAACTTATTACGGTGAAACCTCTCAAAACCAATGAAAAAAATTTGTGGTAATTAAGAAAAAATTTCTCTACTTCATTATGAGATTTGTCAATATATTTATTTTTTTTTCTATTATCTCTTTTCACACACACAACACAATCCACTTTTACACTTCTTTGGTTGATTTTCTATCATTCATCCATGGCCTCACTGTACTTGTATACTCTTTGTGTGAGCAAAATTGGACAGGATTTTACCCACTGGTCGACTGCCCAAGAGTGATTCAATCTCCTTTATTTGCTTGCTTCTGTTGCTGCTTCTGTTATCTATTCCCGAACAAATAAGAAATGTTCGGTTACCTATTCCTGAATAAATAAACAATATTCGGACCTGTATTTTCAAATTTTAATTATATGTTTGGAAGTTCAGTCTCGAAAAAATAATAAACAATTTTTATTATTTTTGTCATTTTTTTTCAAAAAACTTACCCATACAAGGCTAATATTCTCTAACCTAAGAATACCATCAAAACTATGAATCTCTTCTTAACTTTTATTGTTGTACTCTTCTCGTCTCATAAAGTTGTGGTTGGTAAAAAAAACTTTCTCTCATTGTTATTGCTAGAAAATGTATGTAAACAAATGGTTATCACCGTTGCTACCAGAATATTGTTGCGAAAGGGTTTCCAAGGTTTTGAGGGTAGAAAGGTTTTGAAGATGGGATTTCAAGAAGATGTATGGGTAGTGATGATGGAAGTAGATGCTCTCATAAATCCTAACTCATAATATAGTAAGTGTGTGGGCTTAATTGGGAGATAAGATGTTCAAAAATTATTAATCTCGGTTTTAGTAATCTCACTTGAGATTATTATTATAATAAAAAAAACTAAAAAATTGGAGATTTAAAATAATTATTGGCATACTAATAACAACACTCCTCCATTAAATGGGACACTGCATGCATTTTAGTGCATTGTAAAGGCCCGTTTAAGAATATATTATTTAAATTAAAAAATCAAAAAAATATTATAAATTATTATTTTATTATTTATTTTTTAAAAATAATAATAATTAATTAAAATAATCAATTTCCAAACCAACAATGCTAGAGGGTCATAATTTTTGTGACTACAATGGCTCAAAACTGTCAAAACGACGTCGTTTTAGTATTTTTGAACCATTATGACCACAAAAATTGTGGCCCTCAAACATTTTCCTTTCCAAACCACTCCTAGACACAACTGGTTGCCCACCTCTCACTACGCTCGTAAATTTTATGCCCCTACGCACGTTTAAAGTGAGCAGCTAAAATATTACTAATTTAATTTAAAATTAAAATTATAAAATCTCAACTGAGATTAATTTGATCCTTAATATAAATATTATAAAAAATATATTTAAAACTAATTTAATTCATAACTAAAATAAAAAGATCACTTTAATTCATAACCAACCGTGATAAAATCTTATAACCAAATTTATAACTAACCATCTCATAGTACCATAAATAAGTATTTATTAGATTTATTTATTTATTTATTTATTTATTCACCCTTTCTTTTGTATAAAAAATGAATATATAGATAGATTATTTCACATACCCGTCAAGGAATATTGTTCTTTAGTACCTATAACATGTATCTACAGAGATGTCCACTGCATTTACCCACCGCACTTACGTCAGGACTGAAATTAAGGCCTTCGCATGCTCTAGGCACTAAAAAATACGTGTAACCCCGACAAAGAATTATAAAGATTTAAACCCAAACTTTGAGCAAGGAATCTAAAAATCATACCATTGAACCAAGCCCCTGTTGGTCCTATTTTTTGTTTTTGTTTTACTTACGATATAATTTGTGTGCTCTTTGAAAGAACAGCCTAACATTGTCCTCGTTGCTTTTTCCCTTTGTTATCTTCGTTGGTGAAGCTTTCTAAAATTCTCTTTTTATTTTGTGTCTTGCACCAATTAGTAACATAAAAACAATTATATCAAACAAAATTGCTTTAGATTTTTATTATCTTTTTATTTTTTTATTTTAGAGAGTCTCTCATTTGTGTGCATAACCACTAGTATATATAACATCAAACAAAAATACAATCAATTGTATAAATAAAAATGTTTATAAAAATATATTAGAACATTTTCATGCTCTGATATGGATGTTGTTTTGGGATGTGCATTTTTTGGCTTTTTTCTTTTAGCTTATTTTCATCTTTATTGATTTTTTTAAAAAAAATTTAAAAAGTTTTAGATTTCTAAATTTAGTTCAACAAGATGAACTGGAAAATTATAATTTTTTTTATAAAAAATCAAAAAAACCTAGAAAAGACAAAAATAAGCCAAAATAAGCAATCATTTTTTTACTTTATTTTCATCTTCAGTGATTTTTTTCTAGAATTTTTTTTTAAAAAATTACTTTTTAAATTCGTCTCCACAAGACAAATCGGAAAATTACAAAATTTTGACATAATTTAAAAAAAAAAAAAAACTAAAGACAAAAAAACTTAAAAAGCCAAAAATTATTAGTTGGTCTTTACTTTCTTCCCTTCCACCATAAGAAAAAGGTTGAGGACACAGACAGGAAAAAAGAAAAAAAGAAGAAAGAGAAATGGACATGAAATGATGGAACTCTCAATCTGATCTTTCACAATGGTTTCTTTTTTCTTTTTTCTTTTTTCTTTTTTTTCCTTTTTTCTTCTCTTCTTTCTCTTTGTGCGATTCAAATCACAACCAGGGATGGACTAGTCGGGTTTGGAGGAGACAATCCCAAAAGTTTCAAGAACCCGCTTATTCTAATAATATTAGTTAACAATATTTTAATTTTATTTGTAAGTTCTTCACCTTATTTTAAAAAATTTTCTTTCAAAAATATTATTTAGTATTGTAAGCTATGAGAAAAAAAGTAATTGTTCATACCATGTACAAATGCCATCAAAATAGCTAGGAAACATAAATGTGGAAATTATTGTTGGTAGTGTATTATAAAGTTGCTGGTGGCTTTACTAGGAGTGACTAATTGTGGTCCTTCTAAAAAGAAAAGAACAGGACACAAAGAGAGAGAGAGAGAGAGGGAGATAGAGAGAGAGAGCAATTAGCATGTGTACAAATAGAATGGAGATCCTCTCTACCTTGGTAATTTTTTTCTCTGTGCTTTCAGTATTGTTGGCAAATTATTCACTTGTGATATATATAATTTATTACTAATTAAACTTGTCTCTCCACATGTTTCATTGCATAATTTGTATTAAAAAAAATTTTAAAAAAAAACTAACCCTGAAATGATATTTTTTCATGCTTTTCAAATACAGAAGATGCTGAAGAAAATATAGGATTTTTTTA